GTCTATGAGACGCAACTATCTCATCTCGTACGTACTAGTCTTGATACGTTATGACGTCCGTATTATCATAAAGTGCGACTAGGGATATTCTAGACATAGCCTTCGTCAAGAAGTAACAGTCTCATAATCAGAACATCGTAGTCCTCATCTATGTTACTGAAGCGCTATCGTCTATGGACTGAAGCTATGTTATGTTACAAGAGATATAACACATACTTCAAGGCCTTTCATTCATGATAAAGTGTACAGTTACATAGGTATTTGATTGCCGCTAGGGCACCTAAATACAACAATCTCCCACTTGCCCTAAGGCCAATCAAGCATTTCTCGAATGCCCATGGACCACGTATGACTCTCGTGTTTAGGCTTTCCCAAAGCCTTCGTCAACGGGTCCGCGATATTGTCGTCTGTACCTATCTTGCAAATCTCAACGTCCCCACGTGCAACGATTTCTCGTATGATGTGATAACGTCTAACGATGTGTTTGGTCTTCTGGTGAGACCGAGGTTCTTTCGCTTGTGCAATTACCCCATTGTTGTCGCAAAATAACGGTATAGGGTTCTTGATGCTAGGAACCACTCCAAGCTCTGTAATAAAATTCTTGAGCCACACACCTTCCTTGGCTACCTCGGCTGCAGCCATGTACTCTTCTTCTGTAGTGGAATCAGCGGTAGTATCTTGCTTGTAACTCTTCCAGCATTCCCGACCGATGTAGCTTAGATATGCGTTTCTCGTTTATATGGCCTAACCTACAATGCCATAGGTATGTTTGGTTCAAACCGTTCGATTTGTTCCTCTTGGCTGATATGTTATAGACAGGCATGTCCAAGTCAAGGACATATAACCCATTAGTCATGTTGGCATTAGCATAGAAAACATTCTTTCTGTAAACGGAAAGGGACTTGTCTTTAATAGAAATGATGAAACCATTCTTATCAAGACATGAAACGGAAATAATATTTCTGCTAATCGCAGGAACGTACAAGCAATCGTTTAATTCCAACATTAGACCACTAGGCAAGACTAAACTATAAGTTCCGATTGCCAAAGCTGCAACAGGTGCACCATTGCCAACTCGGAGTTCAATCTCGCCTCGAGCTAACCGTCTACTCTGCTTCAGTCCCTGCATGGTAGTATAGATATGAGACCCACATCCAGTATCTAGTACCCATGATGAATATATAGACGTGTTAACTTCTATAACACACACCTCAGAAGAAATGGTCGTACCTTCCTTCTTCTTGGTTGCGAGGTATGTCTTGCAGTTTCTTCTCCAGTGGCCTGCCTTACCACAGTGATGACATTTGCCCTTTGCAACTCCTCCTATGGGTTTCTGGGTTGCAGATGAAGTGGACTTTGATTTAGGCTTTCCGACCGTCCTAGCCTTAATCTTAATCCCCTTCTTCGGCTTCCCCTTTCCGCCTTGGACCATAAGGACGGAAGCACCCTTGCCCTTAGTAAGGTTCTCCTCTGGAGTATGGAGCATTTTAAGAAGCTCTGGAAGGGGTTTGTCAAGATCATGCATCATGTAGTTCATGACAAAACCCTTATACAGCTCAGGGAGCGACTGCAGGATCAGGTCCGTTGCCA